GAATATACATAACGTCTGCGCCAAATTGCGTTCAGACGATCTTTCGTCTTTATTATTGACGTTTAGCGAATGTTTCAACACACACTGCTACGACTAAACACAACTGATTTGGATTGAAACTGTTCGCTCTCTATAATTTCTCCCAGCATGGAATATGCAAAATGGGATTTACTTGACACCACTTAATGTTTTCTAAATATCATTGCTATGAGAAGTATGAATTTCTTAATATTTTTAAAATAAATTTGTGGGTTGTGAAATAATCCCGTAATACCATATATATGTATACTGTTCGCTGTTATTATAATGCGTAATTAATACATTCATTAGAGGTTTAATCAATTAAAAATGTAAAAATATCGATATTATATGATTTTGTAAATAGTTCTTTCTTTCCGCGTCAGGGTTGGGGTGGACCACGAACCCCGTTTACGCAGCACGATATCATGTAATCTGAGTAAATGTAGTACTCAAGTATCAATCTTATCTAGTCATATAACAACCCTGTTTGGTTTTCTAATAAAATGAATGGTATTAAGTCAATAACAATTACTTTGTGTGTTTTATAGCATAGCGGCACAGGTAGTATATGTAGATGGACTGAACAAATCACTTATCGCTTTAGGTTACAATATCACGGCAAAAGTGTCTCCGATACTTTGATTTTTTATGACCATGATCATAAATAATATTTTTATTGCTTAAAAATTAGTTTTGTCTGGGATAAGATGCATATGCATTGTAGATTACTAGCGTAGTTGAAAGACGCAGAACTTCGATGGCAAAATACATAAAAAGGAACAGTTTAAAAATCTCCTTTTACGTCCGTTCTGACTTCCAGTCAATTGATTAAGTCACTTGCTAACTATCGCGTACATAAAATACTCAGCCCACATCATCACATCCATGACTCAATATTATTTAACAAGTTAATTTTCAAATCAAAACAAATCTGAGTCCATCTCGACTAAACACAGTGCATTCATAGTTGTAGACCAACGCACGCGTGTCCGACCGGGCAGTGTGCGACATGCAGGTGTTATACCTGCAATTGAATTTAATATGTAACTATAACTGATATACACGGTACCAGTGCGTGGTAATTTGTCTGAGGTGACACGTATGTACGGCTCAAAGTCCATGCAAAATGGCTTGAGTGTAATTTTATATATTAAAGTTACCTTGGCATAATTAGTCGCTACATACGTAGCGTTGATGTCTTCAATCACATTCTGAAATTCGTGATACGTGTGTCTGTTGGGGTCGCTGTCACTGTCGTAGTCCAGCAGTGACTGTGAGAAATAATCGTAGTCTTTTGCACTCGGATCTAATATGGTTTTGCACACGGTTCCCAAATCTGTGACATAATACAATAGTACTACGCTCGCCTGGTGGAACTGCGGTACGTTTAAACCATATTTCATATCAGCATCAACGATGGTGAATAAACTCTCAACAGGAAGACACTGATATGAAAAAAAAATAATAACAACGATAACTAAAACTCCATCGTATCCTGTGAACAAAATGGCCGCCGCATTTTAGGTTTGCAGCGATGAACAATTTTAAAGTTGTTAACAGTCTCAAATTAAATCTTATATTGAACACTATTGTTTTAAGACGTTCCACTAATTATCACTTATCTGCAATTTAAAGTATTTTTCTTTTTATGTACAAACTTTTACAGTTATTGAATATGTTACCTCTTGACATGACGTATTCGTGTTAGTAAAATCAATGGTATCACATTGCATTCTGTTCCATAATATTCGTATAATATGCTCAGTCTCGGTGGCTGTGATATTCGACTTGCTTTCGGGTTTTACACTTTCTAAATATTCGTCAACATCGTGGAACGGGTCTTCGTCGTGTCCATGTGTACTGTACATAATCACTAAACAGCATGAAACGAATGCAACTAGATGGCTGTTGGCAAACATCACGATCGACCGCGGCGATGGAGATAGGACAGGACAACTTGCTAGAGTTTGTGCAGCCTCATAAAACACGTGCCCTGGAAGGTAGCCTATTAGGTTACTAGTTTTTTAGAAGATTACGACAGTGGATATTGCGATTCGTTTCCTGGCAACCAACAGTATCGCATGAAGGTGCCATAAACGAAATGTCTTCATTATTCGTATAGATCTTACATCAATCGCAAAATAACTCCTTACCATAATACAGAATGACGGAGAGGCATATCTTCACCCATGTTTGATTTGTGAGCCAGAATCAACAAGGTATATTATCTGGTATCGACATATCACGTGGTGACCCTGTTACTGTATGTGACTGTTATGCTTTAGTGCTCTCTGAAACAATCTCATGGAATTGTTACAGAATGAAAACGTTATTATACCAGTAGCACAGTTCATAAGTAAAAGCTTCGAAGTCAGGAAGCAGGGTCTTACTTGACATCTTAATGCCTGCTGTCAATTTAGTAATTTTATATTAGTTAGTAATTTAGTGATTGTATTTGTTATTTAGTATATTGTGTTTTTGTTTTGTTTTTATACATATTTTTCTCCTTGTACTTTGTGACCATTTTCTTTCCCGTCGGGGATTGTGTAAGAGTCAATAAGTAAATAAAGGTATATACTAGGACCGTGACAACAATTCACCAAAGTACTAAAAAGAAGTTGAGATAATTGCTAATTTGCATAACAATTCACTCAGTAAGAAGTTTGCTAATGCTCATAATTAAAATGGCTGTAACAGTTCCAAATTTAAATGTAGTTTTGTTAAAAGTTAAATACAGTGCATATTATGGAGATCCCGTCATTTCTTTTTTTACCATGTTTCTTTTTTTATTATTTATGTACAGCCTTGCTAAATTTTGCTAAGCATTCAAAAAAGAGAATGTTTGCACGTGTTATCTATATTTTAAAATCGTTTTTTGAGTATGTTCCACTATTCACAATTCTACAAAATCTTTAGCTAAGACTGTTTGGATAATAAAAGGCAAAAAAAAAAATCACTCCCAAGTGCCCACAAACCTGCATCTCTGCCTTAAGTCAACTCAACTATCAACACGTTTTGTCTCTTCCATCAAATGCGTACGATAATATATTTATTGTGGCGTAGGAATTTGGAAAACAAAAATTATCATCGTCGGTGAAAAAAACTACGAAAGGAATGTTAAAAGGCAAATGTAATTTAAAATGCCTTCAGCTCAAATCTCTTCTTGAGAAACACATTAATACCAAACAGACGTATTTATGAATCAGCTTGATAACACCATCCTGTTACTAGGCAACTGAGCCGAGAAACGTTCAATGTGTCACGCACCCAGACTCTGAATCACAGCATGGGTAACTTTGAGTATTTTTGAACTCTTTTAAATAATTGAGTTTTTGTAAATTAAAAATGTTTGTTTTTTGCAGCAAACATGGCCGCAGTATTCTTTCGTTGAAATAATGTAAAACGCAAATGCACATGCGCCCTGATTTACCTATACGTACAGATAATTTGTACTTCAAGTTGCGTTCATGTATACTGCACAAAAGCAACAATTATTATTGTAATTACTTCTTGATGGCTGACCCATAATAATTATAAACAAACCACAGTAAAGCCCAGAAAGCAACCGCTCATTCAGTGGACAAGGCGAAAAAGTCGGCTCATGTTGGTTCACTTCTTCAATGGTTGCACTGGTTACTAATTTCTTCTCGCATGCAATTGCTTGTTAGTTGTGTTTGTTATACATAGACCGTGGGGATAAGGGGAAGGTGTAAAATACAGGCGTCTATGGCTACGTTTAGTCTCAATTTCAATTTAAAGCCTAGTTTTTCGTCAAATTCAACCATAATAGGACAGGGTCATTCGGTGAGGAAATGTGTTAAACTGCTTTTCCGTTGGTCAAATCGAAGATGTTCATTTCAAAATGTAAGTTACACGTGCGCCCAAGGGTGCGATCATTTAACTCTCATTTTCGCAATATTGTCGTAAACAGAACCAGTGAGGGGTGGGGTCACTCTCCCTTGCAGAGTCTTCTTGACCTAGGGAGCCACAGAGAGCCACAACTCGTGGGACGTTCCCTTTAGATGGAGAATGGGGTGGGGTGTCACGCGGGAGGGAAAATTGCCAGACAAATACTTGAGGCGCGGATTTTCATAATGCTGCTAAATAGACGTTCAAGGCTTATCGAGCATTTATTTTAAATCTCATCAAATTGAAAAACTAAATCTGTATAAATAAAATGTCCATTATTGACGAATTCGTTCATAATAGAATAGAATTTAATTTACACAGTCTTTTTTTCGGAACACACATTTATTGTCATATACTTTACAGGGTTACAGTTTACTAGCAGCCTATCGGCTGACATAGCTCTTTATTGAGATGTATACTGAATCAGCATTCAAATCAATCGGGCTAGCAGTTTTGAAGAAGTTGAAAAAAGCATGTTTACTTATCAAACGCTTTTTTCCGGAAAGTAAAGTCGTTTTTTTAAACATTTTGAAAGCGAAAGGAGTTTTTAGAGCACAATATTACAGGAAGATTACAAAATGTACATGCTTTTCTTCTGGGACCCGAAAATCGATGCGCCACGCAACACAATATTCTGTGACGAAACATTAAAGGGCGACAGTCGTCGTGCCGCGTCCTGTTCGATATGGGACTCATAGCGACACATACAACGCGTGTAAAATACATTGTTTATTTACATGAAATTTGAACACGCGCTGCGCGACGACCACCGCGCTTTAACAGAAAGAAAATGGTCCTGAATTTTAGTTTTCTGAAGAATATATATTGCTTACATATTTCATGACGCTGCTATCCATTGACCATCGTGAATCATTAATTATTAGTTTGTTGAAATACAATAGAATTACCATAACATCTAATATGGAAAACTATTAATACAAACAAAATTGCAGAACTAGTATAAAGTATATTGTACCCATGTCATGTACTAGCATGCATGTACTACGCATCAATTATTGTTCTTCCCAGACACAGTAACTCCATAATATAATACTGTTATACACTAACATTTTTTTAATACTTTTAGATATCAAAATGTGCATTGTAAAACACTATATATCATTTTCACTATATGTTACCAAGCAATATTTTGAAGACATTGAGATATCTTCTTGCAAAACAATGGTAAAACGCCATAAAAAAACAAAAACAAATTTTCATTGTAATTCATGGATCGATTATCTCTTTCTTTATCTTTGTTACATGATATATAACAATTTTTACATGGAAATCACAATATTGTTATTTATTTATTTTTATTTTACCTTAACTACGATGTAATATAATAACACATTGCACCATGTTTATGACGCTATAGAATCGGTTTGTTTTCATGGCCTTGATATCGATTGAAAATTATGGTTGTATATAACACCTGCAGCCTCTCCACTAAAACTATAATTATTATATATTGTTATGCTGTGCTTTGAGTTTGATCGTAATACATACCATAGTTGGTTAACAATGTCCACCGGGTTGACTTGAACACGATTGAATGCATGGTAGAACGGCTTTCGACGCCATAAACTTGATCTGAAGTGCCAACGTTTGCAGAGAGTGTTCGAATTTCATGTGAATAAACAATGTATTTCACACGCGTTGTATACGTCGCTATGAGTCCCATATCGAACAGGACGCGGCATGACGACTGCCGCCCTTTAACTAAAACGTGCGCCATAGCATACTCGACAGAATCGAGACACAGAGAAATGGTGTTCTTGGCAAATCTTTTTCCCGCATGAAAACATCATATTATTATTATTATGTCAAAATGAGAGCTTTAATGTCCGTCATTTAAAGCGCGATGGTCGTCGCGCAGCGCGTGTTCGAATTTCATGTAAATAAACAATGTATTTTACACACGTTGTATACGTCACTATGAGTCCCATGTCGAACAGGACGCGGCACGACGACTGCCGCCCTTTAATTTTCTTTTGCAATGTATATATAATACTCTAAGCTAGAAGTACATGACAAATATACACAGAGGATGCTATCTTCAAGGCTACCAAGATATGACACACGACCTAACTTTGGATTTGGCCGAACGCGAATGACTGAGTCAGGAAGGTGACAAGGAGGTTATATGTTATCGACATTGTTTGCCGACAGCACACATTTGTGTACAAGAGCATATAAGTATATCGTATAATCATCATAAATGGAAAACATACTCCTACGGATCTCAGCTAGGACCAAAGTTCATGAATCTTTGCCTGTACTATATAGTAGCGGAAGAAATTATACAAGTAGGTATCAATACGGAGTTTGTCAAAAAGAATATGACGTTTAATCACTTTAAAAAAAACACTGCTTGAAGTTAAATATCTTTAGCCAGCGAATACTGGAACTCGGTGAAAGACAACAACATGCATCGAGATAAGTTGAGCCATAAACTTTAGAACTTCAAGATTGTATTTGCTAAAATTTCCTTTGCATTTTGCATTCATGCATTTTGTATAAAATGAGGTTATTACGAGGATACTGCAAAGTAAGCACGAAGACAGTACGGCGAAAGTATTGACCGACGCGCAGCACGTGTGCCTCAGCCAACTCCTAAGGCATCTATCAAAATGGACACTGTTGGTAGGGACTGTGTCCACCATTGTGTCCGCCTGGAGATCGGAGATGGTTCACCAAATTGCGCCTTCCTGCACCTGCCTGGCAGGAGGACTGTGAGGTCTAGATTAGGATCTGTGAGTACATGTACAAGGGTCCCGCAGAAAGCACTGTATTATTTGGGTATACAATGTGAGCCAAGAAATCACAGCACACACCTTCATTTGTTTTCAAAGTGTTGTCATTGGTTGAGAAAACAAACAAGCTATGCCCACCCCGATTCAGTTGTGCCATATAGACTGAGGAACAGAATACAACCAGTGTCTGCAGTGTCTATCTACAACCCCAAGCAAGTCAAGTTTTGGGTTGTCTCTATTTGTGACTTGTTCCCATTGACTACAAACTCCAACAATCTCAAGAATGTCTTAGTTGATGGCGGAGAAACCAGTCATTTATGTATGGGTATACCAAATGTTCAGCATGAGGGTTGAACTATCACCTTACACATCGTATAAACACCAGCAGTGCCAAGCAGAGGCCAAATGGAAGTTGTAGTACAGTTGGTGACGGAAACCCACTACGCTAGCTGTCACCTCTCGTCTAGTATATGACTGAGGCGTGTAGCAAAGTGTGTGAATGTCTATACAGATGCCAGAGAGAACAGCCACTGATTCTGTGCAGGATTTCCACACTGGTATAGATTCAGTACACCTGGTCCCAGAAAACGTATATGACCTTGAGGAGGCCCAGGCAGATTCACACCAAACTGTATGGAATCCTAGCTGGAGGTTAAGCAACCCATGGATGGATGCATTCTGTACAGACCACCACTGAAATATGGCCACCAAAAGCATAGTATACTATACACTATACACTAACATTGTACATTAAATCACTTGAAATAAAAAAAAGCTGGGTTGAATCCATGTCTCCAGTAGGTGCCATTTATTGAAGTACAATTTTGTCAAGTGAAACTTCAGGGATTACGGTACAACATGACAACTTACCAAAGAGTCCTGGTTGCTATGTCAATAGTGTTGCCATCTTGAGAGCCTAAGCCATTCTCTGATGGCATCACTGGTATTTTATGTGTCACTTCTTTAATAGTGTGTGTTCTATGGTCCCCACCATTTGACTGGTTTGGCAGTAGGAATCTGCATGGCATATGAAGGTTTCTCAAGGCGTTTTCTGGCTCTTTTCACCATTTCCCCATCAAATAACTTTGGTGAACAGAAGTCAATCTTTGACAGCAGAGATGTGTGGGCAGAGATGATGATGCATTGTACAGCTGGTCTCCAGTAACAGTGTTGACAAAGTTAATGTAGGATGAAGTTAGAATCATTGGTTGTAGAATGCATGCTATACATTCAGTCAATCATGCTACCAATTAATTGAAAGTGAGTATCTGTCAGATATTCGCAACTTGTCGCAAACTTAAACTCATCAAACTAGCTAATCAAATAATCTATTCTTCGTCTGGTAAATTCTGCAGCAAAGGCAGTTTTTTATCACCCACTGGCCATAGTTTAATTGTTAATGTAGCAGACAACTGACACGAACATTATCCTCTTTGATCTTTGAGTTTTATCATTGGGTCAGCATAATGAGACAACTCCATAATTGTTATATGCAATAATTGTACTTAGTTCAAATTTCAAATAGTTGCCATGACACTCTCCTTTACATGAACCCTAGTTGCCATGACATTCTCCTTTACATGAACCCTAGTTGCCATGACACTCTCCTTTACATGAACCCTAGAACATTCTATCATTTTAAACTTAAAACGTGTTTCCGGTTGCACAAAATTGTTTATTTGAGTCATTATGAAGCAGCTGTCCGACTACTATGATAGCTTTCTAAGAATATTGCTTTTATGCAAAATAATGAGATGAAACTCTCCAAACAACACTATGTGCCACAACAACCCAGCATGTTCATATTGAGTTTGATTAAAATTGATCTGTCACCCTCACAGTCACCCTCACACTTAATGGGCAAGTGGTTAAAATCAAATTTTTTACAATTTATTAATATTGCTCATACAGATAATATTTTAAAAGCAATGATGCCTTGCTTCAATAGCATACAATAGTAGTCATGGAGCAGCGTGAAATTAAATACATTCAATCAATCAATCAATCAATCAAGTAGTTCTTTGTATTTTTGAAATAAAAACAATCAAAAAATAAATAAATTTCAAGAAATCTTTATTCATACATACTTTTTCATACATACTTTTGGTATTCCGCAAAAAAGATTCATAACTGAATTTGAGAATAAAATTGCAGCAAATGACATGTATTAGTCAGGTGACATACTTCAGAAGTACACACCAATGTTTGCATTGTGTAGATGATGGTAGGTAAACATAGTCAACAGCTATAGCGGTGATGACTACCGCACAATTACTTTTTTATTTCTTGGTTTTCCCATTTTCACTTTTTTCCTACTGTTAGTTTTTTTCTGTCTTTCTTCCTGTTGATCAAAAAAGACAGAATACAACATAGTTACTATGACAACTCAATGATTTTAAACAATGACAGGTCAAAGGTACATGTACCTTGTCAACTACAAGCACTAAAATACTGATAAGGACGAGATTGTCATGATGGGACTGAGATCTTTGGATCGACCAGTCACAAAGAGCTAATAAATGTTTGAAAACAATTTTGGTACTTGAATGTAAACAAACTTCACACTTGTATCTAAAAAATCAGTGAAAGAAACTTATGCACAGTTTCTATGAGTAGTGCCCTCTAGTGGCAAGCACCTCATCGATGTATGAGCTGTTTACAGTGTCCATA